AAACATCTTTTATGAAATGATTTGATACATTTTGCATGCAATAACATTTAAACTATGTCGAATAAAATAAGAACGGATTGGACTTATCAAATTCCTCACACCTACACGTTACTTGGCCTCAAGCAACAAATTGAATTACTGCAAGTAAGGCAAATTAGTAAAATTCAAAATCAATTTATTATTTAATTAAGAAATATAAAGTATTATTTGTAGGGAAAATTATCTCAAATAATCTCACCTTTTTGCGCTCTATCAAAACTAATTCAGCTTTTCACTGTCATTGGAAATAATCCCATCTCTCTACGTGTATACGAGTTTTGGGTCACCGTTTAAAAGATTACAGTCACTTAACGAAAATTTTGGAAAATGTCTTTTTTTGGAAATAAATGAAAGGTGGAATTATTTTTGGTAAATTCTCTTTTTTTTTGTTTTTTAGTTTCTAACTTTAAATCTTCACGTGTTTCTTAAATATGGGTTTATAAATAATATGGATCACCAAATTTAAGTTTTTTTTAGAGTGAAACTAAATTTTTTCAATAATGAATAATCTTGTAATAATTAAAAAATAACTTATTCTAGGGTGGTGATAGCCACACCCCACCAAAATACTAAATTCACCCTTCATACTTGATGGGTAATAACTCATTGATTCTACCCTGTAGGTTCGTACCGACCAGGAGGTGTCAAATCCAGCGCCTTGTGACTTGGTCAACCCGGGCAGTCTGACCGGTTAGGGGTGAGAAGATTTGGAATCACGGACATGGCTTCATCTCACGAAGGCATGCATGCTGACCGATTGGAGACTGACTGGTCGAAAGTGCAGAGACGTGCTTAGTCATTATTATAAATAGGACTAAAAGCCTCATTTTGTTAGAATAATAGACCAACGCTAGAGGGGGGGTGAATAGCGTTTGATCAAGAAATCGCAGGAATAAAAATGAATAAGCGAGAAGTAAAGAGAAAAGAACAAGGAACACCGATTTTACCCTGGTTCACCACAACTTGTGGCTAGTCCAGCCTCCCGAGAGACTCTCTCGAGCTACACTACTATCTCGTTAAGCTTAACGGTGCTTAACAAACCCGTACAACTTGAGAATTCGAGTCACACGAACCTCAACGAACCTTCGAAGGAAACAACCCTTCCTTCGAACAACAAGAGAAATACCTTCTCTTGTCAAGTGTCTAAGAACACTAAAAACACTCAAGAACAATACTCTCTTTTAGAGTGGATAATGAGTAAACTAAGAACGCTCAAGAACACAACACAAGCTTCACAAAAATGGCTCTAAAAAAGCTATGAAAAATTGAAGAATGATTTGCAATGAAAGAGTAGGAGTTGTGAAGTAATGTGATATGTAAAACAGACCCAAACACCCCATTTTATAGTAGAAAAAATAGGCTCCAACGGACCAAAGTATTTAAGGGGTGATTGGCATAATTTGTGGGATTTGATTAAAATTGGATCTGCTGAAATTCACCCAGACAGCGCTGTCCTAGGCTTGGACATCGCTGTTCTAGGCTTGATTTTTAAAAAATTGGGAAGCAATGGTCATGCCAACAACGATGTCCAAAACCCCTACATCGCTGTTTTGGCTGTTGACTTCCAAACAAGGAAAGTTTTAGCCTTAAATTCCTTCCAACGGTCAGGTCTCTACATCGATGTTCTATACTAGAACATCGCTGTTTCGGTCTGCCTTTGGAGATGGAAGTTTGGCCTGACAGCGCTGTTGCTGGGTCAACATCGCTGTCCAAAAACTTTTTGCCAATGCACTATATTTTTGGCTTAGGTTGGACAGCGCAGTAGGGAAGCCTACATCGCTGTTCCAGAAGTTTCTGGAAATCCAACCTTGGCTCAACAGCGATGTCTAGTGTCCAACATTGCTGTTGGAAGACTTAACGCCAAACCATGTTTTTAGCTACCCAGTCCAGACAGCGCTGTTGATTACCTCAACATCGCTGTTGGGCTGGTTTAGCCAGACCCATGGTTGGTTTAGTCACGCCGTTAGCCGATGTCAAAAATGCAAGTTCTCCAAAATAAAAACCAAGTTTAGAAAACATTTGTTTATTGCATTTTTCTAAGAGAACAAGTAAAACATCTTGAAAACCACGTCATTTAGTTGAAAACCACGGCTAACCAAGTTCGTGCCGTTTCGCATGGTTTTTACTAAACGACAAAAAACGGAGAGTGGTTTTTGAGGCGTTTTTGTTGGAGAGCTAATTAAATATGCCCAGAAGTAAAAACCAGTCATAAAAAGTTGAAAACCACTTGGTTGGTTTGAACGCCAAAAACCAATGCCGAAAACCGAAAGCCGAATGCCAGTTTCTGAAAGCCGAACGCCGGATGGCTTGGTTTTTGGCTTGGGCGAACTCCAAGTGTTTTGACCCAAGTTTAAACTTAAGAAAAATATTTTTGAACATGTAAAAGAGATTTTTTTATGAATTGAGCCTAGAGAGCCAAGATTTGGAATTTTGTGCCGGTCTTGATCACATAAAGACCGACTCAATACAGTTTTAGTTCTTCGTTCTTGATTCTGGGTTCTTGGTTCTCAAGTCATCATGCCATGTTCCTTCGTCTTAGTTTTGCTCACTGTAGCTTTGATATGTCGCGGCGGTTTGGCATTATCAAAACCTGTCATGAAAGCCGAACACAGTTTAGTACGACGTAAGGCGTAAACCCGTGTTCCAACACATTTGTGAGGAATGCTTTCATTAATCTACACGGCTTATAATTTGTAAACGATCCTACTGTCATTAATAATAAACTGGGTTACAGGTGTTCCCACCTACAGCCCTTCCGCTTATTTGTACTTAATATTTGCACGATATTTACACCAACAAATTGGCGCCACCCGTGGGACCTCTTTACAAAAAGCCATGACAAGCAACCAGGAAACCATTATTTCACAGATTTCCACCCCGGTTGAGAATGTTACGTTGCCCCCGGGGGAAATACCCTACCCCCACCCATCACACCAATCCATACTCATACAATCACCATCCCAACGCCTACCCCGTTCACTTCCCCAATAACTTCGGTCCCTGTTTTTCCTCCAAGCTTCCCTGGGCCCATGGACCGAATATACTCCCAGGCGCTTCAAAGCTTTGGACAGTTCATGTCCATGCTTCAACAGCCGGGAGGATTTCCCCCATTTATTCCAGGAATGTATCCACAAACCTTACCCCAAAGTTCTCCTTTCCCGAATGTAATCGGGCACCCCTCAGGCCCTCATCATTCCATCCGACCAGCATTATCAGACAGGTTGTCTCAACAAATCTGGTCTGGGATATGGACAAGGCTAGTCCGTCCCGATCTAGAAGAGGTCGATCACGAAGGTGTCACACTCAAGTGACACTTGAGGGGGACGTACATTCGGTCGATATCAAGGATGAGGACTGAGATGTACCACGGGCCCAGAAAAAATTGAAAGGAAAGGCTGTCCAACCTAAGGGGTCAAGACGGTTAGCGTTCCAAAGATTGGGACACGAGGGAAGGAATCAGAACCGACCGGCCAAAGAGCGGTTGGGGGTGAAAACAATCCAGGTGAGCGCATTTAACCGGCTGGGGAGGGGAGAAGAACGGCTTGGTCGAATCAGGCAGACCAAACCTCGCCCTCAAGACGAGCCCTAGAACAGCCGGGCACCTCACGAAGAAGAGGAAGCAGAAAGCCATCCAAGGCACACGGTCAGAACACACATAGAGCAACCCAGGGACCGTGTGGGTCGGGTAGAAGCCCGATTGGAGAAATTACAAAGGCAAGTAGATCGGGATGAAAAGAAGAAGGTTTTGCTGAATGGGTCACCATTCACTGACCGTGTGCATGAGACCCTGTTTCCAAAGAAGGCCAAACTTGAGGTCCCAAAGTTCACCGACAAAGAGGACCCAGAAATCCATATTAAAACTCTTCACCAAAGTGGAAGGATGATGGGACTCACCGGGGACGAGAAGTGTTTACTTTTATTTCAAACCCTCCGCGGCCGGGCCGCTGAGTGGTTTCACAACCTCCCCTCCGGTTAGGGGTGAGCAAGGACTGAACCGATCCCGATATTTCCCGAAAAAACCGAGAATACTGAACTGAAAAATACCGAACCTATAGAGTACCGAAAAGAAACCGAACCGTACTGAACCGAACGGTCGGTCCGGTATTTGGGAATGGTATGAGGTTACTTCCCATACCGAAATTCCCGAACCGAACATATATACTAATATATTATGAAATAATAATCTTTTTATATTTCTTCATTAAATAAAAAATTTATATGGACAATTTAGTTTATTTTCAGTATGTTTAAGTTACAGATTTTTTTTTGTAGATGAGTATAAGAATATTAACAAATATTTGAAATAATACTTTGTTATCACTCGTTCTCTTTAGTTTGTGAAATATAAAGTAACTTTCATAAACATTTCTTGCATTTTATTTTTTCATTTTTAAATTTTTTATCTTTCTTTGGTTAAATGTACATTCGAGTTTTCAAAAATAAATGGTTTTGTTACATTTTATGATGTAAACTAGGTACGTATATATTCATCCTGATTCGTACCGAAACCAATATCGGACCATCCCGAACCATACCGAATCGATGCTTCGGGATCGGGATCGGTACAACGTAAAATCCCATACCGAACCGAAATATTTGGTACAGTATCGGTACGAGCTAAATACCGTACCACACTCACTCCTACCTCCAGTGAGATTGACTCTTTTGATGAGTTGGCAGAAGTATTTCAAGAGAAATTCAAAGAAAATTGTACCAAGAGGAAAAAATTTACCTACTTGAGTGCGGTCGGGCAGAGGGAGCATGAGGATCTGACCAAGTTCCTCACGCGGTGGAAGGATGAAGTTGACAAAGTCGAAGAGATGGACGATAAAACCGCCATGTCCCTCCTGGTCTCCGGGCTCCGTTCCGGGGAGTTATACAAGGAATTCTGTAGAAGGCCTCCTCAATTTTACCAAGAGGCCTTCAACACGGCCTAGGACTATTCAGATGCTGAAGCTCAAGTCTCTTCCAAGAGGGAAGCTGAGCAAGGTCCCCAGAGGGGAAGGAGTGCAGTGAAGAAGGAAATTGATTTACCCGGCAGGGTAAAAACGGAAGTATTGGAGGTGAAGTCTTAGAAGATGGAAAAGAAACCAACAGGGGAGAAGCAGTGGACGGAAAAATACTGCTCCTTCCACAAAACTGACACCTATAACACGACCAAGTGCAATAGTGTTAAAGGGGGGATAAAGCAGATGATTGAGGCCGGGGAATTTGGCCAGGAGTACCTTTCCGAGGCAAAACAAAAAAAGAACCAATGGGTTCGGCCTGAAGCGCAACCAGCTGATCAAAATAAGAAGAAGAAAGCAGCTGGTAAAGAGCATGTGAAAATGATCTACGGTGGACCGGAGGGAGGAGATTCTTCTTCTCAAAGAAAGAAGTGGGGGCGTGAACTCTATGTGGGTTCAGTCGCCTTTGACCCCCGGCGGAAGCAAACCAGGCGGGAGCCAATCACCTTCACCGACCGGGATCTTCCCAGCACTGGGGAAGATCACAATGACCCTTTGGGCATCACGATGGATATGGGAGGAGTTGATGTCTCCCGAGTACTCATTGACACCGATAGTAGTGTCAACGTTTTGTACCTAGAGGCCTTCGAGAAACTTAAGCTGTGTCGCACACGGCTTGAGCCATTAAAAACTCCCATGTCCGGGTTCACAGGAGATTCTATAGAAGCTGAAGGGACGATCCTCTTAACAGTCGAGTTGGACACGGGGGACAAGGTCGTGCAAAAGCAAATGAGGTTTGTGGTGGTGAACATCAAATGTGTTCACAATGCCATCTTGGGCCGGCCAGGAATCAACAAAGTCCGTGGAATCATCTCCATGGCCCACTTATGCATGACGTTCTATACACTGGGCGGTATAGGACAAGTCAGAGGAGACTAGAAAAAGGCCCGGTCTTGTTACCTCGAAGCTGTGAAGAAAATGACAAAAGCGTTCGAGAGGGTAACTTTGGTCTCCTAGGAGGTGGAGAAAGAGAAAGTGTAACGCCCCAACACATACCCTAGAATTATCAATGAATAATTATTCAATTAATCAAATTTGTTTTGATTAAAATAAATTATTATTGGGCTTTGGGCTGATACGAAATGTGTTTTGACATCCGCTAGGTGAACTAAGCTCTTCTGGCCCGTCACGGTCGCAGGGTTGCTCCGATACCATTTGTAACACCCCAGCCCCCACCCTGGCCGTAAGTGTTCGCTCATAGGATTGTAGACTGTCCCCACAAACCAACACAAGTCTTTCCCGCACACTTTATCCTCACTCGTGCGCGCCCAAGGAAAACTTCCCAGGGGGTGACCCATCCTAGAATTGCTCCAGGTCAAGCACGCTTAACCTTGGAATTTCTAGGTGATGAGCTCTCGAAAAGAAGATGCACCTTGTTGGTATGAGTAGTACTATCAATCCTTTCGAGCTCTTCCCATTCCCATCTTGATACGGGGTATTACATACTCAGCTTTACCGCTAAGCGTGTAGTGTGTTTTATTTGCTACACGCAGGTAAGCAGAAAGCACAATGTGATCCTGGCGGCAGATGGGGCAAGATTGTCGGGATGGATGTGACAAGTTTTGAAACAATTTATGATATGTCAATATTAAAATCGCTTCCGCAATATTGTTGAATACTCCGTACTGTATATGTTATGAAAAATATTATTGGGATTAATAAAGTGTGTTTGAAAAGTTTTAAATTTTTACGATTACCAAGTTAAATACTTTAGTCCGAATGGGGCTGCAGACCTGGACGGATTAGGGTGTTACAGTTTGGTATCGGAGCAAATGGTTTTAAAACCGATCTTCGGATCAAAATTTGAATTT